ACTCTCCAAAATGGCGGAAGACGTAACTCGGGGGAGAAGAATTGTTAAATAAATTATGTTATTTTTGTTTTCTTTGCGCTCAAAAAGTATTCTTGTAGCTTCGCAAAACTGAAGTTGAGCCCCTGATGTCACATGGACTGTTTTACAGATCTCCTTGCTACGTTTCTGGACCTGGGAACATTTCAGTTGCGTTGCTGTCTATGGGAGGGTCAGACAGCGCTCACATTCCATCAAAAATATCTTAATTTGTGTTCCGAAGATGAACGAAGGTCTTACGGGTTTAGAACGACATGAGGGTGAGTAATTAATGACAGAATCTTCATTTTTGGGTGAACTATCCCTTTAAAGTAGCCCAATTCCGCAGGAAAACCGCACGCTTGGCAACACTGATAAGCGATTTTAAAAAGGAACATTTAAAAGATGAAAAAGAGGAATTAGGGAGAATAAATATATTATGAATAATAACTGTAGTCTGATTACAAGTATTTTAAAATGCTATTTAATCTAATTACAAGTATTTAATTTTTGGAATCTGATTAGATAATCCAGATTGCATGTAATCAGTTAGTCCCAGCTCTGATAAGATTACTAAAACATGACTGTACTTTTCTGATAATGTTACATTTGTTTTGGCCAAAGCACCATAGTTAGTTCCCACAGTTGCTGCTGACAGAAATGACAAAGACAGCAAAAGCTTCTTTCATATTAATGCACGATGATTTGACAGTAACAGCTGGGCTAACTAAGGTATTTTGTTCTGCTTAGCATTGTGAGCTAGTAGTGAGAGTGCGTGTGTGTCTGTTATAGGAGTTATTAATGCTGCTGTCTCTCACAGAAATGCTGCTTGTGTTCAGAGAAAAGAAAATGGCGCAGAGACTAAGTCCTCACGCATCCTCTCGCCACTTTCAGCGGCCAAATTCAGCCTGTTCCCCTTCGAAAGCGACACGATGCCAGTCGTGTTCCGCTCGTCGGTAACTCGTCTATACCAAAGTGAGCTGGGTGTGCGGCACTGCAGGTGCTGAGTGTGGTTTCACAGCTGTTTCTGAACAATAGACGGCACGGAGAGCGGCGCGCGGGACTTAGTCTCTGCCGCCATTTCTGCTGCATCTCTCTCTCGCTTCACACACAGCGCTGAAGATCAGCACTTACTGTAGTCCACAGAGCCGGCCTGCACCTGAAACACACAGTTACTCAACATTTAAAGATGTTAGCATGCATGCCAATAACACAAACGCATGCAATCAGAAGATAGCCGCGCGTAAAGTTGGCGTTGCGCCATTAAAATACAGTCCTTTTACGTACAATCTGAACTTTTCGTGTGCAAAAGTCTACCATTTTTATTGCAAATGTATTCGGATATGTCCTGCGAGAATGGCTCCATATGGAGAGCATGTTAACGTACCTGGTGCTGTCTGTGCGCATGATCTCCACTCATGTTGAGATTCGGATGATGAAGACTGTGATGATGATGATGATGATGGTGAAGGTATTAGCTGGAAATGATAAAGCTGCCGGTGTTTTAAAAGCGGTGACAGAATGATGGCAGGAGTTCAGTCCTCGAGCAAAGTCTGACTGTACCGCCACTGCGCATGCGCGGTCTGAAAAACCACCGATTCTTAACACTCCTCGATGCTGTCAAACCACAGGGTTGTGCATTACACAAATCTTAACACGTCTTATGTCAAGATCTAAAACAAGTGTAGCTCGTTGTTAAATGTCTATTTTAAGTCTTATGACACCGAAATGTGTGTGTGTGTGTGTGTGTGTGTGTGTGTGTGTGAGTGTGTGACTCTTCAAAATTTCCTTTTTGTGTCCAACAGAAAAACAGAATATAGGTCTGAAATGACATTATAGGGAGAATAAATTATAACGATTTTAATTTTGGGTGTACTGTTCCTTTAAGCAAAGAGTACAGAGAAAGAGAATAGAAGATATGCTGTACAAAGTGAGAAGGGGGAACTGTGAACACACAGCAAACCCATAACATTCCTCCCATCACAGAGAACAAGAGAGACAAGTGTTTCCAAGAGATGTGGTTTGTGTATCAAAAAGACTGATGGAGTAAAAGAGTGAGGGTAATATGTGAAAAATGGTCAGAATGCAGGAACATGAATGCATACAGTCTATTTCCTCTCCTGTATTAGTGTGTGTGTGTGTGTGTGTGTGTGTGTGTGGAGCTCATCGTCACAATTTCAGTTTTAGATTTTTAGTTTTTTTGTTGTTGTTTTTTTTTAAGATTTTGAGTCAAGAGTACAATTTAACGAACTCCTGTTTTCTCTAGTAGGGATTTTGTATTCAAACACCCCTTAAATTAATTATTTAAACCAAAGGTGGTAGATCACTAAATGTAGTATGCACCATCTTGAAACACTCCTGACAAAAACGTATCAAAAGAGTTTAGATTCATTTCATCGTTCAGCAGATATGGCCCAATATGGGGGACATTCTACCAGAAATGTACATTATCTGTCCTTGACTTGTTACAGTGAATAAAAAGTATTACATTCAAAAAATATCTAAAACTGACTGATGGTTGATTTCTGTGAGTTGTTCTGTAAAGGAATATGTCATTCATTAGGTTCTCAGACATTTTTTAATTTATTAAAAACACTTTTGAAAATTACAAATCCTGTCCTTGTCCTTGTCCTCAGCCAAATTGGACCTACAGCTTTCATAGTTTTGTTATGCTAAAAACTGTTATTTAGAAAAAAAACTCCATCAATAACAAGTTTAAGTTGTTATCATTCACATCAACTGATTAAAAACATGAAATTATACATAAATTCTACAAATAAATACTATTTTACAACTGTCCCCATGTTTTCGGTCAGTCCTGTCACGTTTACATAAAACTCAACATAAAAGGTGTGTAATGCGCCTTTAAAGGTATGACTCACAGGAAGTGACATAATTTGACTGAGGTGAAGCGGACACTGATCAAGGGTGAGTTCTGTCACTGAATTGTATGATTTTAAGCTTGTTTTTGTATGGTTTTTTGAGGAGGACGAGCTAAAGGGTCAGGCCCTGTCACGGTAAAACATCCCAGAAAATAATGAAAATCTTTTAAATCCAAAACATGTCTAAAAAAGTTACTGAAATTCCTTGATTGCATGTTAACAGTTTTTATGCTAGTATGCTAGCAGGCGGAGTAATGGCAGTTTAAAATGGCCGACCGTCAGGCCCCGTCACATCCCTGTGTGTGAGGCCTGACAGTCCTGTGACACGGCCTTACAAATGAATGGCATTGTTGTGTATTATTACCTTTATTGCATATAATATTTATTTAACGCATGCCATAGTAAAACATTATTTGAATAAATAGACATTACACTGTAAATCGGAAGCTTTTTATGCTCATCGACACATTTTTTGAATTGTATCCCTCTTTTACCTAGGCCTATGTAGCACTGCATATTAGTATATTAATTGTATTTCAATACATATGAAGAGTTTATTTGCAAAAACAGATAATTCTCTGAAATCATGCTTTTTCATTGTGCATTCCAATTAATCTCAATCAAACTTTAGTTGGGTTATTTTGATTAGGTTAAAAAATAACTAATAATTACAGCTAACTAACATAATAAAACACAATAAAAACATGATTACATAGTTATCTGTTTTTGCAAATGAACTCTTCATATATAGATATAACTGTCATCTATATAAGCTTTGAGTAATGATGAGTAAATATTCCAATTCATACCGATACCATGGTAATATCTGCATTATTACCTAGGAAATGACATGCAATTTCTGTTATTACCATGTCATTTCCTAAGTAATAATGCAGAATAATACGAGCCGTAATATTATGTGGTACCACAGTTACTTTACTTTGTGCTATTCAGTTAAATGTCTATACATTTGTTGCATCATAATAAAATATACTTTATATATTATAAAGTTATATTTATATTTATTACACCCGCATACACGTAGCACAACACGGGGTTATTGTTTTCACTCCTGTCTGTGTTTGTACCATTGTGCAATTCTAGTTGTTTATTGTTATTGTATCTGGCCATGTTATTGTTAAATTAAATATGTTTTTCTATTGAAATAAAATGAAATTAGTTTATTAATTTGTCAGTCATATTCTAATGAATTAGGCCCTTATTATATGTCCTTGGCTGAACTTTACCATAGTCTAATATTACATTAACATTAAAATTATAATAATAATTTAAAATAGGAATGCTTATCAAAACTTAAATAAAGAACACAAAACATAACTTTTTCTGCATCAACGAAATCCATAAAGTCAGTCCTGTCACGCCTCGGTCAGTCCTGTCACAGGAAATTATGTTATAAAAATGTAATATTTGAGGAAATATTGATGAATTAATCTCTGTAACTGTGTAGATGAAGGTTGGAGTATATATCCACTACTATGTTTTTGAAAAAATCTCCTATGTAAAGGCAGTTTTTTTACAACTATATGAGTGCCTGGCGGGGTATTCTGTGATTTTGTGTACTACAGTTGACCGAAAAGTTGCTTGTATTTCTTATAGAAATTACAGAACCACGTTAGATACAATCAGGGACATGTGACCAATAAGAAAATGCTATTTGTATCAAAGAAATGCATTAGGAAACCATTCTAACATATACAAATTTGTCTGTGACAGGGCCTGACATTTTAGGGGTGAAATGCGTATAAAAATGTATTTATTTCAATCATAAAAACATGCTGAGATGGCACGATATGTGTTTCATATAGATTAACATGTCCTCCATATGACTCAATGTTCAGATTTAAGAACAAGATATTTTTTTCACCCAAGATTTTTACAAGTGGAAATGTACGTTTCTGGTAGAATGTCCCTTGGGTTGTGACCTATAATGACCGTTTGGCCTAATTCTTGTGAACACAATGTCCAAACTTCACAAACTGGCTACACATTAACAACAGCACATTCTGAGTGAGGAAAGACAACATTTCATATATTTCTGATCCTATGGAGAGTTACAGCCATTTCTGAATGATGAGCCGTTTATATCAATAACAATGACAGTGAAAGGCTGTAAAACTAATGTTGTCCACTAGAGGAAGCCACAGGAAAAGATTTGTTCATACTTTAGCATCAGTGTAAAAAGATCAATAGCTTCACGTACAGTAAAATAAAATGCACAAGAAATTCATTTTTGCAACCATGGTTAGTTTGCAAAGAAATCTGTGATCCTCAACATGCTCATAGATCAAAACATATTTGTCAGTCGCTAGACAGACTGCTTTACATGACAGTATGTTGTTCTTTTAACAGAATATATAGCATATTTCTTTAAATAGACACTCAAAGGCACACATTTTATTTGAAAAGACACATGCCAATTTATTGTATCACTGAACTGTCTGCATTGGTGCTTGGACTGCAGTGGATGACACAAGCGGCTGTTTTACTCTGTAACTGCATGGCATAATGCAGAGGAACTCTGTGCTGTTATAACTTTGTGTTTGTGCTTAATTATCAAACAGATGTACTTGTATGGTGTATTTAAAGTTTATAGCAAGAATTAGTTATTAACAACTAAAAACCTAAATAATAAACCCCAAAAGTCCTGCCCTGCTGTCTGGTAGCTGTATTTTCTTCAGGCTTCTGGTGTTTCTCTGGGTCTCCAGCTGAGCACCCCTCCTCAGGACCGTGTGCACGCGAAACACAGGGGCTAGTCAGTACCGGTCAGCCGGTAAATAACATCTTCATCTTCACAATTTACTGTGAAGCTTCACTGGAGCGTCGGTTTTGAGGAAACACTCAATAGAGCGCGAGAGAGAATTCCACGAGTGACGTCACAGACATTTAGAACAGAGGCTTGTCATTGTGACGTCACTGGGATTGAGTATAAATATGGAGCGTCTATGGCAAGCCGTTTTAGCATTAAGTGTCTGCATGGTTTACACGGCTGTTCGGGTTCCTGGTGTCACGTGCACACTCCGGGTTATAGTGGGACTGAGTACTTCAGTAGTGTTGGGTCGTTCTTGAACGATTCGTTCATTTTGAACGATTCTTTAATGTGACTCGGGAAGAACGAGTCGTCTCGGGGAGTGATTCGTTCAGTCGCGCATGCGCAACATCCTATAGGTTCTGTACTGGAATTAGTCAAGTAGTTCACCTGGTTCGAGTCTTCGGGTTTTTCGAGTCGTTCGTTCATCACGTGACAGCCCCATACGCTTTAACCAATGCAGTCTTAGCCGGAAAGAGAATTGATTAGTTCATCTCTCGAGTCTTGTGGTCCAGGGTCACATATAAACTAATCATGTTTGGACAGGAGGAAATCCATTGCAGTGATGAGAACAATACATTTTTTATAGAATTTCACGATACATTAATTTCACATGCAAAGCTCATTTTGTGCTTAATCACCAAATAGTCATGAAAACTGTCACAATGCAAAACATTACATTAATTCTGGTAATCTTAATGCA